TGGCTCTCTCCAGAGGATGAAGGATGTGCGGCTTGGCCGTGCATGCCGTCTTCGGAGGGCATTCGCCACGGACGCTTGGACAAGTCCGTGTGGTGACTGAAGGTTGCTGAGCTGTTTGTGCTTCTCTATGAGGCCGGGGAAGAAGAAATGACTCAGTGCTGTGATGACGGCTCCTTGGGTCCACGACGAGTACCAGTCGCGACTCACCAGCCGGCAGTTCACAATGTCGTCGAGCGTGAGCTCTATGACGATCAAGGATATTATCTCGGCGGGCAGATCTGGGAGTCCAGCCAGACCAGTAATGGGGATGCCACTGCGAAATTTGCCGCGAAGATACAGGAGATCCCAGGGGGAGAGAGTGGCCAGGAACGCATCGATATTGGATCGGCCGACGCCGGGCGAGGATCCTTTGCTGGCCGAGTCCATCCGGGCGCGTAAAGGCAGAGATTCAGGTCTGGTTTTCCGCTGCACAAATAGCACGTCTGCGGCTCGGTGGTGAGGTTGTGTACGGAATGTGAGAGGATGAGGATGAGGTGGCGCGGAGGACGTCAGTAAAAATGGGCGTGGCCACGCCACAAAACTTATTCATTTGTGTGTGTGTGTGTGTGTGTTTACGTCCTCCATTCTGTGTGACTGATCAAACGAAATATCTTGGCATAAAACAACATTTCTTTTTCTGTGAAACAAATTTTGTGCAATGGGTTGTGAAAGTTCAAAGCAGCAATATAAGTAGAACAACCTATTCGGCCCCTTGCAAACACCGGACCGCTCCACCGCCACAAACTTCAAATATTGTTATGGCCCTCCACCACAAACGAATATCATTTATTGGGATATATCGAGTAACTAAAATATCTGCATTTAAACGAACAGATTCCTGTTCATGCGCCACCGTGCATACGATCGCTTCTATGCAGTTCAGTACATTTATCCCGTGATAAATGACGAATGTCCTGGTACATAAACTTATGTAACTACTTAAGTACATGTACCGTTTGTCTAAGCCACCCGCGCCACAACAGGGGACGCTGCATAAACTCTCCCCATCTTCGGGACTTGTTGGCGGGGCATCCCCATTCCCGCGCTTCAACACGCAGCCTGCATTCACGCTTCTTCGTCTTTGGATATGCATGGCATCTTGCACATGGTCAGCCAGTCCCCTATAGGCGGCTACCATTTGTAAACGACTATCCCTCGCATCGCACATTGAATTACGACATGTTCTCCGCGGAGCGTGACTCACGCACACATTCTCTGGCGCCTGTCAAGGCCGCTGACCGCAAAGGTGGCCGCCGCCTTCGATAAAACGTCCCCTTCTTCTTCCCACCTACCTTCGTTGCCCATGGCGAGTGGACAAATTGGAAAAAGAGGCATGACAGGCCATCTCTCGCAAGGCCACGTTGTTCCAAAGAAGCCGAGAATAGGTTGTCATGTTGTGTCCAACTTTGCGCCTTCCTTTTGGGATAGTTTGGCAAAGATCCACCTCACCCCTCCTTGCGAGAACTCAATCGACGGAACAATCTACCAGGGTGTCATCCTCCAAAGTGTACCGAACTCGTTGGTGTATCATCTAGAGATTTTTCTCGATTTACAAGGCACGGCGGGCCGGATCTTCGCCATCTCCGGGCGGTAAGACTGACAATAACCGTTGAGATTCCGGTGTCATATGGACTAATCCTGTCATAGCACCCAGAATCCTCTCTTATCCCCTACCACACAGCTTCCAAACCGTCCCCTTCCCATCGCAAAGCCAACGCCCACAGTCCACGGATGAGATAAGCCTTTCTTCAGAGACCAGGCCGTCACCCGCACACAACTTTGAACAACATCTCATCTACCACAAGATCTACCCAGACGGATATGAGTTTCCAGACGGCCGGCCAAACCCAGAGCCTTCTAATATGGATAGTGTTCGACAACACCCGCCAGGCGCCCAGAGCCTTTTTATCGCCATGGAGCTTTTCAGACCCTACATCTCGTGACTTTAAACGGAAGAATAAGACTGATTCCAAAGCCGCTGTGATCCGAAATGTGATAGGCCAGCCAACTCTGCTCATGACGATATCATCCGCCATAGCACGCCCGCAAAGCTTGGATGTCTGACTGTGAAATCCATACGTTATCATTTACTATCGCACCAAGTCCCGGATCCCCGTGGCCCCGCAGATGTTTGGCCCAACAATGGTTGAGCTGACATTGAACTGAACCACTTGCTTCGTGCTCGAGTCATCCAGACGGCGGGGCATGATTCTACTGATGACGCATGGGATCATCATCTCCTCCATGCCTCACAGAATGAAACCCCCATTTGGCACGGGAGCAATTTCGTTGCGGTGGTCTTACGGTGGAACACGATCTATCGCCGGAGCAACAACTTTGGACTTTCTATTCACGCACCATTGACTCTCCAACTTCAGTTGAGAGTCTGCGAGAGTACTTAACTTTTTTCATGTCACTAAATTAACTAATTAAGGGGTTGACTGATAACTGAAAGCACCAGGCTCCGATTCCACATATTTCATGGGCCAATACTAGCCTCTCGATGAGGTTGAGGGTGGCAGGTAGGGCAGGTAAAACTAACGAAGAGGTTAAAACATAGTCAAGACTCTGAATGCGACCTACTCTCTGGCCGGCTGTTTAGGGTTCCAGCTGCGTAATAGCGGGCACGAGAGGATAGTTTGGGATAAGCCTCGCACATCCTCCAGCAGCGCGAGACTTTGGCAGCCAAGTGGTCAAAAACAGGCCGGAACGGTCAAACAAGGACTTGGAAACAAAATCCTTTGGCAACAATTGCTCCAAACCCGGCTTGGCTGCCACGGCTGCGACACTTCTCCTTGCCGCAGACTCGTCATTTCCATCTTGCTTCTTAAAAGCCAGCTGAATGCCGAACTTTTTATCTTCAGCATTATAAAACAGCCAAAAGGCCGCAGCATTCTGTGCCTCTGCAGCATCCTTCAACTTCTTATAATGCTCGCGCAGAGTGGTTTCCGCACCCGCAACGTCGCAGGACCAGTATTGTAGGCGACCAACGGCGTGCTCCTCAATCGGAACAAAGCTATGCGCGCCGACTACTTTCCAAACCTGACAGCTCGGCTCCTCAAACAGCGGCCGCTCGAGAAACTTGGTCTTGGGCTCATCGCCGGCCTCGTAGTCCTCACGCAGCCAGCGGTCGTATTCCTTGGCGTTCTCCCAGGTATCGAATAAGTAGGAGCCGCCGGTGAATTGCTTGGCGGTGATTTCATCGTAGCGGAATGGCAAGTACTTCATGTACATCCCCGGGCGCTTGTCCATGGCCCGACTGTCTTTGTACTGGGAATCAATGCATGCCTGGAGAGGAATACCAGGAACGCCGATGGTGAACACGATGGTCACTACGCCTTGAGCTGGAATCTCTCCAGTCTCGTAGCCGATGACTTTTCCATTTGAAGTGCCTGGCTGAGATGTTAGAAGGCTGCATTTTGTTATGCTAGCATGGACGGAGACGAACTCATCTTGGGAGAATGAACTTGGAACAAAGGAAGGTGTCAATTCCGGAGGAATTGTCAAGTCTGGATGCCCGATGGTCCCCTAGGAATGTCCGACTTATATTGGACGAAATACACACATCGCAAATCCATCATGTGACGGTCATCGAGTGGCGGTTCCAGTTCCGAGCCTACGAGCAGCTGAAGAGTCCCTCGCATCAGCCTCTATATAAGCCTTGTGGCCACCATCAATTCGACCGGGCCTGGATTCCCGTTGGTGGCGGTCGCGCTGCCAGGGCCAACCTGGAGAAGTCGCACTCTGTACATCGGGTTGAATAAAGTCGTATATGCTGGTGCTGGTGTTTAGAAGGCTTCAATTTGCGACGAAGGAAAATTTGTCGAGGCAGCGTCTATTACGCACATGTCTAGATGAAACTAACGTAGCCTCCTTCCACTCCGTACTAATAAAAAGACTCCCAGGGTATGGACAGGGCAAGGTATCGCAGAGCAGCCCCCTTGATTCACAATAGGGTAGTTTGTTCTACACTTCCCTTTTTGAGCGTCGCCACACTCTCATACCTTTGTTGTTGTCTTGACGAAAATCCACACTTGGTAGCCGTTAATGCAGACGGTCACCCGGTTGCCTCGCCGTCTTGGAATCTAGAGCCAGTTGCTAGCAAACGCCAAACGGCTACCCGCACTCGAATAGCACCCTGCCCTTGCATAGAGAGACGTTGGCTTTGACGTTGCGCTTGAGTCCAACCAGAAATATATAATTAGATAGGCGCTATCATGGTACTAATTAGCTTCAATACAGGAAGTCCTCTTGTTCCGCGAGAACCGTCTCCTTACGGACTCATCTACCGCCCCCAAGTTGCTCTCGTACTATTCTGCCCAGCCTGGGCTGTTCAGCTTGGAGAATTCGATTTCCTGGGAAATGATGGATGTTTCAGCTACCCACTGGACCAATTCAATCAATTGATGAAGCAAAATAGGACACCCGTAGTGCAAAATGGAATCATGATGCTTCGTGGGTGAGTTATTTGATAGACTTCGTATCCCAACATCAATTGACACGAGTATGGACTGATGCTGCGTTCAGAAAACTTGGCATTACTCATAGGCTCTCTATGGGCAGGTGACATTGACCGTCTATTCCGAGGTACGTCGCGTCTCTGCACAACATGAGTACCAATCTCTATGCAGTGATGAAGTCCATGTTTATTGCCTCCGCCTCAAAAGGCAGGCATACATCTGACCATGATGTAGTAGAAGCTACCAAATAGAGCACGATCAGCGAGTGGTGAACTCGATGAGCATACCGCAATCAATCTGACTGCGCCTCGATAGTACGGTATCGCGTCGGAGTTTGCCGTGACTCGCCGATGGATTCGGGTTTTCTTTTTTACCCGTCCATCATTGAACAAGTCACCTTGGTGTCACAAAAAGCCTTCTTCGAGAGTATTTCAGCTGCGGAGCAAGGCTCATCGTGTGGTGATGCCAAATGGGCCGCCGTGGCGTCTTGGTTTGTCAACATCAGCCTTTGGCCGACGCATCGATGGAGGTTTCGACAGCATGCAGATCGGTGGCGTCCTTCATCTCCACCTCGGTCGAGGTCGAGGTCCAGGTCGAGATGGAGGTCAGGTTCGTGATAGGGTTTGGAGTAGGCGGGCCACGGCCACGCCAGCTCGGTTTATTTGGACCGCCACCGCCCACCGTCCGAAAGCCACTGGACACTTGATCCATTTTCTGGGAACCCAGCGACAGTATCGAGCCAACCACTGGGGCGAGCCAACGCACCACGCGAGGAGCCACGATGGGGAGGTTGGTCGCGAAAACCGCGATGAAGACTTCTCGAGCAGCCCACAAACAAGGAATCCCGGTGCGACCTGATAATCTCTACAACACGATATATTGGTCAATGACTCCCGGAGCTTGACAGTTTTGCAAAGAAGAAAGGGGGGGACCTACGTCATAAACCATGGTGGAACGAAGTATGGCGCAGGCCGCAACCAGCAAGCCCCCGCTAAATAGCACCATGAGCCCTACTTTCTTGACGGCTCTCATGGAGGATTGCCAAAGCAAGGGGACTGGTATGGATATCAGATAAAAGTCGGTAAAGACATTGAGCGACAGGTTGACCCAGACGACCGGGTAGGACACGGTAGGCTGGCAAACATCTAGGAGCGGAACAGTCAACACGCCGTGGCTCAACCAGTGTAGAGACGAGACCAACTTACTCCCGGGATCTGGATGAATCTGCCAATTCTTGTGGAAGGGGCGGCATACGAGGAAGAGGTTTGCCAGGACAGTGATCCAGCTGGCAATAAGCAGGCCAAAGCCAGTATAAATGCGGACGGTGTAGTGCCGTCCGAGCCCTTCCTGCGGCATGTGTCAACTCACATATACCAAAACAAAACGCTCTCGTATATACGCGGCTACGCACCGTCAATCGAAGGTACAAGACCAACAGCGATGTTTTGAGCGTCCAGAGACACATGACGTAGCTCAACCAACCGCCAATCTGCAACTTGGAGCCAAGCACCCTGTTGCTGAAGTCAGAAACTGCTCATTCATCCTGCTGCTCATTGTCAAGGACGCACCGTTGCTCAAACGCGAGACTGCCGGGTAGAATCGCCGCTCGCTCGTTGTCCGTCAGGCCGGCATTTGTCGCGCCTCCGGAGACGTGGTTGAGAGACGTTGAAAAGGCCGTCATGGAAGCGTAGAAGAGCTGGAATGTGTTAGCCATGCGCGGCGTGCGCGAATAACGGCCGCACGTACCGCTGCCACCGTGACCAAGTAGTCGTCGCCTCGGAGGCCTTTCCAACCGACGGCCACGGCCCGGGCGCACACCCTGATTATTGTCACCGCGATACCAATCACACAGAGAGCGACTTCTTCTGCCGTTACGGACACGACTAACGCTCGCTGTGCCGCGTTCGGCTCGAACGGCTCGGTGGGCGAGATGGGCGACATGTTTTCTGGGCGTCCGGTTGAACGTCAAGTCGAGGGTGATGAGAGCATGAAAGGAACAGAACAGCACCGTCCGGAGTGCAGAGATTGGGCCCAAACGATATATCGGCTACCGGGGATCTCCTGGTAGGTCAGTCTCTGACACATCGGGTATGCGACATCCCGTGGCGGCGACGGCTTGTCCAAGGAAACGCCCACGGCCTCTCTCTGGCTAGTCGACTATCGGATGCCACACCGTGCTGGAGATTGCCACGTTACTTTAGGGGGGAACGACTGATTCAGACGGAATACTAGTGCCTAGCCTCAGCCACCAGGCCGTTTGACATTCTCACACCACTCATTTGCACCATGACATGGATGGCGCCGCTTGTACACACAGCCATGGCCATAATTGCGTGATTAAAGCAGGCAGGCCCTTGCTGGTCCTCATGCACCGCAGGCTTTGGGAACGGATGAAGGCCGGGATACGCTGTATCCAAAACACTAGCTGCCACACAAGCTGCCACACGTGCTGCTTCAGCGCTGGGCGGAGGTTTGAGGCATTTGAATGCCCCTCGAGTGCTTGATCGCCTCTGAGGACACAAGCTAGCCAAGGTCGTCGCCAACTATGATAAAAGAGGCCGCAAGTCCCTTGATAGATGGCTTCAATCAAGGACCGATGCCGCTATCCAATCTGTCCATGGCTGCTCAACCGGCACCATATGCGTGGATAGAGCGCCATAGCCAGGTACCTGATCTGGTTGATGCTTTGTCTCCCACTGTAGCAAGGGCTTAGCCACAGCTTGGCAGCTCAACCAAAGAAAAAATTTCCTCCACCTTGGTTTGGACGACTAGTCGGGGGTTGTCGGTACCAAACCACGCGATACCCGAATGTGTGGCGATTGAGTTGTGCTTTCCAGAAGGCGAAATGCCAACATTTACTCGTCCAAGGACATTAAGCGAAGCCTTGTGGCTGGCTGTGAACTCTCATCTGGGCCGTGGCTGCAGTATGCGGCTGCCCTAGTACGCACTTCCTCCCCGCAGGGTCATTCACTATACTTGTCGATGCTTGTACATATTCAGCGGTTCCGGTTCTCGGGTAAGCTGTTCCACTGCGAGAGATGTATTCTTAGGCAGCTTTTAAAGTGCCTAGTTGTGGAAACGGCTCTGCGATGGGCTCCTCGCCGGGGTCGAATGATGCGTCTATATACCGAAATAAAAGCGAATATGACCAACTGCTAGAATGGGTTCTCGTCCGTTACTTACCTAGAGATTAGTCCGGAACAAGTCCTGCAGCATGCATCTTTAGCGGAGAAACTGCTTATCATCTCAACGCCCACCTCTGCTGTCCCGATCTCGCGTTGACTCTGGGTGCAAGCTGTTAGGTAGCGCAAAAGATGATACTGCACTTTGCAAAAAAGGTATTTATATCTATGAAGAAGCTATTAACTCTAGTTTTAAGGATACAAGTACTAGAATAACGGGTAAGCATGAGCCAGACGTACATGAGTCATTCAATGGATTGGAGAACAAATCTGAAAAGGCACCTCGGCATATACCATGTTCCTGGTAAAGAAGCTACTACCCGCTGTTAAGAGGAATAATATAGGCTGAATTGTGTATTTCCGACGTCGCTACGACTATAATTGCTGGCTATTTAAATAGGTTTCGGGTTAGTAGTACAAGTTTCTCTGCGTTAAAAGCACGATAATAGAGCAAGAATAGATATCCTAAGCTTATCGCAGAAGGCTCAACTAGCTGCAAGACACGGCGAGACCCCGGAAACGGTCCTTCTTGGAGCGCTTGCCTAGGAACGAAGGGTCTTCAGCATCTCCCGAAGCAAAACGAGCACAATCAAAGCCTTCAGAGACCTTCACAGTCTCTAATAACTACCATGCTTTTCTTACAAGGAAAGATAGGAGTCTGTATTCTTGTTGCGTTTTTTGCATGTTTGCACACCTTTAATATGAATGCCTCAAGAATAGCAAAAGATTGTGGGTTTCTTGACGAATATAGGGTCCGTCTTCCTAGTCTCGGATCACTCGAGTTGCCGCTTTACGCATATCTTCTCGGTAATGAGTGGTGACATGAGGTTTAGTGCTAAACGTGTTATCGGCGGGAGAGTCATCGCAGCTCTCGTTGCCTACGGCGATTAGTTTCCTCGTACGCTTCTCACAACGACTGCTTTTACGCATGAGAACATATGGACATATTTTGCTTCCTCCGGACTCTACTTCGCCGACGAAAATCACTCCAGCTTCGCAGCCGAACACTTTGCGTTGAGGAATATCATCAATGGCCTTTCTATTTCTAGTCTTCAATTATCACCACATACTTGTCCAGGGACTCATACCACTGCAACGCACTGCCAAAACTAAAGGCCGCAGAGGCCCAAATCAGCGTGAGCTCGTTTTGATACACACACCAACTAGCACGGCAGTACCCGAACGACGCAGCCATCGTCCAGCCAAGGCTGCCAATCAGATTCCACACGCCTACGTGCCACCCAATCTTGAAGGGCTGGGGGGTATACCAGTTGGGCTGCGTTTCCAGGATATACAAGACGGACGAGACGGCGAACAAGACACCACCAAGCAAATAGGGGAAGTAGTAGGCCCCCTTGAGCGCCGCATCGCTGAGATTATCAAATATGCCAGGCAATCCAAGAATACCACAAATATAAAAGACGGTAGCACCAACAGACATTGTACACGATGCGAGAAAACCAATCTCATAGATGTAGTGCGTCGTCACATCATGCCAAGATGGCCACCATTGCCAATGGCGCCCCGTACCGTTCACGTCATTGCCATTCGAGCTCTCTCGCGGTGCGTCGCGTTGGCCATTGATATTTTCAGCAGAGGCGAGAACCCCAGACGACGTTGACCTGGGATGGCTATCGTCTCGATACAGATGTTGTTTAGAAGGGTCCCCAACCTCGAAATGTATTAGGCCGTGGTTCCGAGCCCGCCGAGCGATTCCTAGACGGTTCGCAAAGAGGTCCTCCATGGCTCCGCCGAATTGCGTCTCGGCACGATCATTGTAGGACTCGAGAAATAGCAGAACGGCGCCGATCTGGAACAGGGTCGCGCCGACAAAGGCCGATACGCCTCCGGCCACGAGCTTTTCGTGCGGGAACTGCGTCTCGGGATAGGCGATTGGCAGCCAGCAGAATAGCCCGGAGACGATGAAGAGGAGGCATCCGATGGTGAAAGAGACGCCTACTAGCCAGGAGACGTCCCAATATGGAAACAGAGTAAACATGCGGCTGATGCCGAGGAGGATCCGGTGGGGATTGGAGCTCCTTTCGAGTCGGGAGGTCAGGGGTGCGGCTCGGGGTAGAATAAGAATATGACGGCCTGTAACTGGCCGTTAGATGAAGGAACATTAGACCCGAGGAGTGCTTGAAGAGCGTGTTATTCCGCCCGATTAGGATATCTGGTGGCATGTATACCTTTACGGTAGTCGCGCGCGTTCCAGCGCACTTTCGCCCTCTCTTGTCCTTCGGCGTCCGCAATGTCGGCAGCGTCCGCTCCATCGCCCCCTGGCCTGTCATTTCCTTGTATGTCGTAGATGGCCGTTGTCGGATTCAGGAAGCCAAACGGTCCTGCGACGCTGTTCTTCCGGAGTGCCAGGCTTGGACTGCATGGCTCCCACCGAGGGTCGGCAAAGGAGGCGTTGCGCATGTTCCTCGTAGTTGTTCGCCACGGGGGACAGAGTTCGTCGCGTCCTGCCATGCTACGGGCACGGCTGGATTTAATAACAATGAACCGCCGACGGACTAGAGCGCGCTGAGATAGCGCCGGCAGATACGGGAAAGTTGGTTTGACTGACGTCAACCCTTGGACCCGCCGCCGAGGTCTATTCGCCGGCGTGCCGGAACATACCATGAGTCCTTATTGGTTAGTGATATAGAGGGAGAAGGGGGAAGTGGCAGAGAGGGAGGTTACTGAGAGACTCTAGGGGTTTGTTGGAGTCGAGCACGATCCGTCTTGCCTGCGGACGGGGCATAACAATCCAAATCCAATGGCTAACATTGAACTGACTTGAGATAGAACACGAGGCCCGGGGCAAGCTAACGCGTGAGCGATGCGTGAGCGGTGCTGCGTGAGATCCTCGGTCTCTTTGCTGACCCGAGCACTTGTATTTTGTCAAGCCCGGTGCTACATTCCAGCCTCAGTAACACCATTTCGTCGTCCATGCCGCTCGGCTAGTTGTACCATGCCCTACCTCTCAGCCGTGGCAGCCGCCGTCATGACTTTGGGAGTGAAAGTTTCAGCATCGTCTTGACCGACTCTCCACGCTGCCGAAGCCGGCTTCGCCGAGTCCGCTGGCATCAAGGTCGTCAACCGTTTGTTGCCAAGGGATCCAATGGGCATTCATCATCCCATCCTTGCCAATTCTACACCTGGCTTTTCATTAGCCCTCGGCAGTTGAAAGAGCCGTAAAGGGTCCAGGCCGGTACATCCTCGCGTTTTTTGAACCGTCATGCCGCGCATGACCTGTGGAAAGAAGACTCAGTGGCGAGAATCGCCCGAGAAAACGCCCGGATACTCTGCGAAAAAGCCTCCTCTTTTAGACTGCGGGTTCGCTCGGTCGATTTCCTATCTCTCGGTGATGGCTCAGGTAGTCGACATGATGGACAAATACGCAATAGTTCCTTGATTTCGAGCCCAACCGATCGGAGAATGAGGCGGCCAAAAACTTTGGCCGGGGGAGGGTTCTGATAAATCGTGGACTATGAGGCTTTGCGGGACGAAAGCTGGAACAACTTTGTGAAAAGAACAGTCAGTAATGTCAGCCGGGAGGGAACGGATATAAGAGAGTCCTTGTCTATAGTTCAGAGGCGTGAGCTTAAGTACACCGCACGTACGGCACTTACTGCGGAAGTGGCTGTCCGCCACCAAGCTTAGTGTTTGCTCAATGCTAATAAACCAACTAATCTATTGCATAGAATGGTTAGAGTTTCTTAGGGCCACATGGGCAGTAGGTAGACTTATTTGAATGGCTTTGTTTGCCAAAGGTCCACATCTAGGTCCAACACTCGTAGTGGAATTTGGCGTCGCCGGTGCAAAACTTGTTGCTCTTCTAATAGCATGGACGAAATCATGATTATAGCCAGCAGCCAAAGCATGACGGGTCAGATCGAGAAACAAGACAAGTCCGGATACCGTTTGGCTTGCAGAAAAGCAAATTCGCATACATACGGAAGTACATGTCCTACGCGAACCGTCCAGTACTAAAATATATGCCTGATAAAACACAACTTAGCTTCTATATGGCGGCAAGATGAGGTGAACGCCCCTAGGTTGATGCAAAGTTTATCACATAGTGTATGTAGTACAGGCAAAAGGCTCAAAGCCGTGTCAAATATTGATTATTTATTTGCCATTCGCACTAATTCTGTTCCATTTGCTACACAAGTTCCAGTGTCTAGTCCCATTGGTATTATTTATCCAACTCACACTGCAACCACGACAAACAGGCTAACAATAGCCCTTGTTCACCGCAATTCGCCTACGTCAAAATCAAAAGTCTAGAAATTGCCAACCATGCAACAACCGACGTGCCGGGGGCTTGAAAACCTCCCGCCCGAATTACTCCTCGCCATAGCAGAAATATTGCCCGCAGACAGCCGCCTCGTCCTTTCGCAAACTTGTTCCGCCTTCCACAACATCATTCAATCCAGCCAACGCACAAAATTCTCACTAAAGAATTTCGATGCTTCCACCTTTCTGGATTACCTAGCCACCATCGCGCGAGACCTTCCAGACGCGTGGGTTTGCGACAAATGCATGGCTCTTCATGCCGCCGACCTCCAAGACACACCACAGTCTCCCCTCACAAAGAGCTGCCCCCGGGCGTCCATGCACAGGGACAACGGACAGAGACTATTCTGGCCTCACCATCGCCATGTCCAGCTCGCCCTGAAATACACACGGCTTGGGGTCCCGGACCCCGAGCGAAGGCGTCACCTCGCCAAGCTGCTGGGCCCCGTCGTCGCCAACCACCCCCCCGACAATGACGACTCGTGGGTCGCACATGTGACGTGCTCGTCGAGGGGGAAGATCGTCAACGGGAGGTTCCTGCTCAAGTACACGTGGCACTACGATGCGGCATCGGAGCCGATCGAGTACCTATATCGTGGCCCCTACGGCAGTCTCGTTATATGCAACCATAAATACCTCCCGGGGTTCTTGATGGCCTGTATTTTCTACCGTGTGAAGCAGGCCGGAGAAGAGGAGGCGGCAAAAATCATCTCAGAGGGGCTGCGGGTGTTGCTGGAGCCGTCGGATGCGCGCGAGGCAGCTCGCGAGAGTCTGGTTGACGACCAGCGCGGCATGGAACTCACCGAGTCGTGCTCCTCGTGTTGGACGGATTTCTCTGTTTTTATTGGTGAAAAGGGCTTCTGGTTGTCGGCCTGGTACGATCTGGGACCTGAGGGATCTCCGTTTGACGAGTCTTGGACAAGTCATAGGATTCAGGAGCCGTGCGGCGGCGACATCGGTCGCCCCCGAGAAGGATATGTGCCAGGCAGCATTCGGGGCCTCTATGAGCAAACTGCACCAGCATCAAGACATTGACGACGAGTTTGAGTGATTGTCAGAGTGGCTTGGCAAGGAGGAGGTTGGGCGCTTGGGCTGAGCAAATCGACGGCGCACGCCGCGCGGAATTGGAATACATGTCACGGTTTCGGGAATTATTCCGCGAATGCAATATGCCGTGATCGGATTGTAAGATGTCCATAAATACTGTCAGGTTATTAGGTTTTGTGGAGAAAAATTAGTTCGACCTGCTATGCTGTTCCACTCGCTATGCATATACGTTGGCACCAAATCTCAAATGTATGTAATTTCCCAAAAATGTTGAGTCAACTTTTGACTGCATAAACGATGGGATGTTGAACAGCAGATGCAGCAAGAAATTCACCAAACTACAGCGCGGAAGACGATGGCGATGAAAATTGATAAAATTCCAGCGTTGTGGTTGTTTTGTTGCTAAATCTATCTGATACAAGAAGGTAACTTTGGGGTGGCCGGTTCGCTATGCTGGCCGGCTCGCTGTGCACCTATGTTACATTTGATACTTATACAGTCTGGTGTTAGGTGCCCATCAAACATTGATGTTTCCATCTAGTCGTTGCGCGGATGCCCCTGGCCTGGATGCCACTGATTACGCTTGCATTCGTCAATATCCCTTTCGTCCATGCAGTATAAAAACTTGCCGTTTGCGTTGCTACAAGTCATCCGGGGAGCAAAACAGTTCTTTTCTTCCTCTCGCAGCTTGTCCTCCTTTTCCTTTTCAAGCTCGGCGGGCGTTTTTTCCTTTGGCGGGTTTGCCTCTTCCTTGCATCGCGTTTCTTGGGTTTTGCCTTCATTCTTGGCCACATCATAGGCATAGTTTGTGTCGCACGGATCCACGTCGTGCCAGGACTCGCATGTCTTCACGTTCTTGGACCAGTACCACCGACTCTCATCCTTGAATGCTATACACTTGTGCGTCTGTGGTAGTAGTGTTACTCCCGACGGGTCAGTGTCGATGAATGGAGACGGCTGGGTTCCTGCTTTCCCGTAGATGGGGTTGATTCGCAGCCATCGGCCAAGCGCCGTGTCAGGACCCAACAGGCCGCCTGGTTTTGCATTGTCGGGAATCGCGGTGAGCAGAAAACCGGCTGCGCTGGATGCAAAACGAGCTGGACCGCCCAGGCCGAGCTTGGCCGTCGAGGGAGGCGCTCTAATTATGTTGTACATGTCAACCAGTTTGCTTGGTGCGTCGCTGACCAACTGGCCAAGCGTCTTTTCCAACAACTTCGTATCGTCACCTGCATCGGCAATGATTTGGTTGAATAGAGCCAAGCCTGAATTCTTTGCTGCGTCGGGCTTATTTGCTACCTTGGAACCGCAGAAGATCTATAAACGGCAGCTAGTTAGTCGACACGCTGTGGCCAACATGAACAAGTAGTTTCCCCGAATACGCGTTTCGACTTACCACATAGTCAGCTTTCATGTAGGACGCTCCAGCTCCATTGAACTCGCGACCAACACTGTCACAAAAGATTGTGGCAGCTGCAACCGATGGACCTTCTTTCTTCGCGCCGTCTTTCTTGCGGCACGTTCCTTGAAGCTTTTCATCGGCTTCCAAAACATCTCCGGCTTCAAATCCAGCATTGCCGCAGTACGTTTCCAGAGCCTTCTTGGCGCCCTGGTCCGCCTGTCTCTTGCGGAGCATGGCCGGATTTCCTGCGGCCAGTCCGGCCAGCAAGGTAACAAGTCCGCTTGAAAGCTTCATGGTGATTCTGGTAATATGTAGCTAAGGATGTAACTTGTCCGAGAAGAGTAGAGTTGAGTGAAGAGTACTGCTGCACAACCTCTCATCTCACTTGCAACCTGCCGCGGCTTTATATACTTGTGAATACAACTCGAAGCATCCCATATCAAGTCTAGTGATTGTCTGTACAATGCCGAGAACCAAGAAACCTAATGTCCCTTCTTCACAGTGCGCCATCATGCTCATCAGGGAACTTTGCTGGTAGCCTTGGCGGTGCAACAACTACCGACCGGCCAAAACTCAACTTCACGGACAGCATATTGATCTCGCGGCAGTTGTGGCCATCATTTGCCGACAGCTGGACGTATTCACGCGCCTGGCCCTTATCGTATACAACTACCGATTCTAGCTCGATTTCGTGCCACTTGGACCTTGGGCATAAAATACGTGGGGACACTACGTGTCGTGCTGGCGTGGTGACGTTGCGCATAAACTGGGCAAGGCGCATGCTTACCGCTATCAAAGGCCATTGATACACGGGCATGACACTTTTGCTACGCGGGCCTGACTCTTATCCGGCCATGACTTTGGACAATTCTGCCGCGACGCCCGTCTGGACTCTGCGCATTAAACTTGGAAATTGGTTGACCCACAAGTTGCACTGTTAAACGCCAAACGACCAGATTTCCGGGCAATTTATTGACTTTTTCTGCAGAGGCGTTCTTGTTGAACGTGAAACGGCATCATGTGCAGGGTCCAGCCCGCTCCTTCCATAAATAGCGAGCCTTGGCAGTATCTCTAGCTTGCAGAATCAACGCACTTCTTTCGTCTGTGTTCCGCTGTGACGTTCAATAGTAATGACTCCCCCAGACTGCAGTGGCCTATTCTTTCCAACTTTCCGTTGTTTCCGTTGTTTCCGTTGTTTCCGTTGTTTCCGTTGTTTCCGTTGTTTCCGTTGTTTCCGTTGTTTCCGTTGTTTCCGTTGTTTCCGTTGTTTCCGTTGTTTCCGTTGTTTCCGTTGTTTCCGTTGTTTCCGTTGTTTCCGTTGTTTCCGTTGTTTCCGTTGTTTCCGTTGTTTCCGTTGTTTCCGTTGTTTCCGTTGTTTCCGTTGTTTCCGTTGTTTCCGTTGTTTCCGTTGTTTCCGTTGTTTCCGTTGTTTCCGTTGTTTCCGTTGTTTCCGTTGTTTCCGTTGTTTCCGTTGTTTCCGTTGTTTCCGTTGTTTCCGTTGTTTCCGTTGTTTCCGTTGTTTCCGTTGTTTCCGTTGTTTCCGTTGTTTCCGTTGTTTCCGTTGTTTCCGTTGTTTCCGTTGTTTCCGTTGTTTCCGTTGTTTCCGTTGTTTCCGTTGTTTCCGTTGTTTCCGTTGTTTCCGTTGTTTCCGTTGTTTCCGTTGTTTCCGTTGTTTCCGTTGTTTCCGTTGTTTCCGTTGTTTCCGTTGTTTCCGTTGTTTCCGTTGTTTCCGTTGTTTCCGTTGTTTCCGAAGATCCTTAGCCATCTTGGTACGCGCTAGGTCCTTCATGGTCTGACGGAGCTTGGTTGACTGGACCAAGGCTCCGCGTATAAACCGGTCCATTTTAGTCTTTAGGACTGGCTGTAACTCTTTTAATACTTCCTGGAGGTCCTTGATCTTGCTGGTTACCTTATTTAAGTGCCGCAGTGTACACGGCGTATCTAATAGCGATGATGACAGGTTGTTGGGTGGCGGGGTTGTTACTACTCGGGGTGAGGTCGGGTGTAATGCTTGTATCTGGTCAAGGATTGGCTGTAAGTTCTAAGGTATAATATTAGTTTTCCTAAACGTAGATTAAATAGTAAGAACCTTAAATACTTACTATTAAACTGACTTAATTATAGCTAAGAATTCTGACTTAGTACTGTAAAGGCAGCTATCTTGTATAAGGTGGTCTAACACCTTTGCATGGTAGTGCTTTAATAGCTAGAAAACGATAATATCTAGCGGTTAGAGGATATATGTAAGATGTGGAGGTAAGCTAAATAATATAATACTATAGTCTTCGGCGTACTGGATAAATTCCACAGTATAGTGTGAACCGTGACGATTGATTATGAGAAGTCTGTGTTGCCCCGTCGTTTTCTGTGCCGTTTATCAAAGTGCTTCGGCCATTCAAGACTTAGCTCATCGTTGGCAAGCCCCAAGGTAGATGCAGCAATCGCAGTATCATCGTGAAGTCCTGGGATACGGTAGTCGGTTTATTACACAGGAAACTAACTATTCACTCATTTTTGTAGAAAATCAACAGTCTCTTATTTTGTGCGAGCTCAGTCGTGCTGTGTAACAGCGTGGACCCGGCACTTGATATTATATCGAGGTTTAGCGGCGCGGCTCAGCCAAGGCTGACAATATATCCGCCGCATGACTTCAATGTTAGTTTTGGTCGTGTCGTTGCCATGTTCGAAATAAGGTTTAGACGCAACGCTAATAGGCGGGCACCTGACCCACAATTTAATTTGTGCATCATCCGGAATCTAAAACACGGGAGGCAACCAAGGATCAACCGATGTACATAATGTACTCCGTAAGGGGCTAAAGCAGGTGTGGCGGTGCCGGTTTGCACTCTCGACTTCGGCCCCTGCCTACCGGCCGAGACCAGCTACAAGCGAGATTAACTATAGTACCAGCCGAGGCCAGGCTGGGTGGGCCTCGGGATATCGGTATAGAGCCTAACCCCATGTCCATGCTTATGCATGTAACCCACGTGTTCCCAGGCTGCGACGAGCAGCTTCCGCCAACATTAAAGCAGCACGCCAAGATAAGGCTATACGACCTGGTTTTACACATGTAATGTAAAAGTCCCGTACAACTACATGTTCCCAGGCTGTAACGAGCAACTTCCGCTAATACTAAAGCAACACGCCAAGATAAGGCTATACGACCTGGTTTTACACATGTAATGTAAAAGTCCCGTACAACTACATGTTCCCAGGCTGCGACGAGCAACTTCCACCAACATTGAAGCAGCACGCCAAGATGAGGCTATACGACCCGGTTTTACATATATAATGCAAGAGTCCCGTACGATAATCTTGGCGCGTGCTTGGCGGGCGTACTCTAGATTCACGATGCCCCACTCGAATTACTACCCAGCCAAAGCCAACAATTATATTCAGCAATGCTCTCTCTTTATCTATCCGTTCTGCAATACCTTGGACTATTTCTATCCTTCATGTAAGACACTAACACTACCGAGTAAGCCAAGGATCTTCGGTCATGTTGTTTGTCTAACTGTCTCGAGTTTCTACAAATATCCATTGTCCTGCCAACAGGGTTGAAAGCGAGTCCATCTATTGGGAGCTGTATGCATGAGCGCTGTAGCCCACATCGGGTTCGCCTTTAATACACACATATCGGTATAAAGGTTACTTTAACCCGATTAAATATATATTACCTCCGGAGAGATTAAGGCTGGCAACTACAATAATAACTCAAGCCTTACCAAGAAGCCAGACATGAATACAAGCTATTGAGGATTTGATATATCTCCGTAACTCAGATTGCAAAGTAGCATATCAGAAAGGGCTTAATCTTAGTATATCCGGGTATCTAATAAGAATAATAATTTTATTAAGAAGCTTAGTTAATATAAGTCTTATAACGTGACAATATCAGTACTGCCGGTTTGTCCTGCAGGTCGCTCAGATTGCAAGATAGGTATATACAAGTCCTGATGCTGAGATCCGAGTGGCCCAGTCCTGCTTTCTTGGGACCGGACTGTTTTCTCCAAGGTCATGAATCCACTATGCACGCTTAAACTTAATAGCAACTTTAGCGGACAGATTGTAGCCAGGAATACTAACAGCTTACGTAGTTTTAAAGCCTAGGCCCGCGTCCCTGGTATCAATTCGCTTCAAGCATTCAACGCGGAGCTGAAGACGGCGTCATGGGTTTGTGCATTTCTGTCTTGGACCTCGAGCGTGAGGGAAGAAGGGCTTGAGGAGCTCTTGCGCTCTAGAGCCCGACGCTGTTATCTCGCTTGTCGCCCGGCAGGTCCGGATAAAAGCGAGTGCAGAAGAAGCAACTTCCAGCACAACCTAGTATTTGAAGTTAATTTCTGGAGCAAAATTATAATAGACATAGTTATATATTGCTTTTTTGCGTGATACTTGTATGGCGCGGTAGTATTTTAGGAAATAATATCTCTTAGTTCGGAGCTTAGCCGCCATATCGAGAAGCTTAAATAGGTTTATCTCCTCTAGTCGAGAATAACACGCCTATTAATCCCTTACTCCAAGCCTCTCACGTCAATTCCAAGCATCAAGACGTACACTATTACACACATGCTCTCAATTAATACCGTTATAGTCTCCGAATTGTGGCTGGCTGCACAACTATATTTTTGCCTTTAGGTTAAAGTCTAGTTTGATACAGGAGCAGACGCGGCGCGGAAGATAAAACTTTGAGGGGTTCCAAGGAATATATCCCAAATTTACATTGCACAAGGTTTAGAAGCTATAAGAGAAAACTAGGTTATTGACCTATCAAATAGGGGCTCAGGTAAATAATATACATGGGTACTTTCCTTTATTTGTCCGCCTAGTACCTGTTTATTTCGCTTAAAACATTTTTAGATGGTAATTACAAACGGGAAGAGATCCTACCAAGCCTCTTTGAGATAGCGCTCCGCCTCCTATAGCCATGTCTCAGCTACTGTCGCTTGCTGAGAGCTCCCACCCGACAAGCCAAGGCTTTGCCACACATTTCCCATAAAAGTATATTGGGGGCCGTTATTATTGGAAAAAGAATCGCTAATTGCTCCCCACGAATAAGGGGTAAAGCCGCCTCAAAGCCAAAATCTGGTTTACCACAAGGCTAGGCCGGCCTGTGAGGGGCGGTTACACCGTTTATGAGTACACTTCTAGTCTAGTGCTCTTGGGAATATTCAGTGTATTAAGCTAGCATAAGGCATCAAGATTCTCGTGCTCGTATATATCTCCCAGGGTCCCAAGATTTCCTGGGACTAATATATAGGAATACTACATATATATTTAGTTATATAATACTTAAAAATCAGTGATTAAAAGCAAACAAGTGTTTATTCGCCTAGGGCAAGTAATAATACTAGTTCGTGTACTACTATTATGCCTTTATATAATAGAAAAGTAAATCTATCACTTTCTAAAGTCAAATAATTTAGACTTTAGTGTATTAAGCCTAATTATACTCTGCAATAAAAAAAATATAAATAAGCGCTCTTCACTCCCGATAATAAGACGGGAAAATAAACAAGTAAATCGCGTAACCCTGATATAACAAACCAAGATTTTACCTCGTCTATATTCTACACTTAAAGTTTTTCACACAAGTCCAAAATGCGCTTTACTTCTGCCGCAGTAATCCTGGCTTCCCTAGTTGCTAATATTCACGCTGGGATTATGCCAAACGAAGCAGACGGCATTTTTAAGCCCGAACAGCAACAACACTTTATTGGCATGTTCGGTCTAGCTCCAGACCAATCCTGTAACAAAATCGATGAAGGAGTTGTTGCCACGGCCCAATATTCCCATGGTCTCCTGGACAAGAATATGCATTCTATCAAGGTCTACGTGTCTAATTGCAAGAGTATGTCTAACCGCTAGCACTATTATAAATGTCTTTACCCAAATTTTGTAAAGTAAATTAACATCTTAGTAGTATTTGTTTGGGACACATCTCGCGGCGGTTTTTGGATTTACCCAAAAGATAATCGCTGCCGCTCTATTCCAAAAGGCGCCTTATCTTGGCGCGCCTACTGTTAGTCCCTGACTTGTTGAATGTAAGGCTGGATAGTTATTATAATACGGCCTTGTATAGTATAGGGTTTTGTCCCTAGAGCATAGGGATTTCCTTATATTATTAGTGCAAATATAAAGGCTATTTTACTTTTATCTGTCCAAGTTATTAATTAAGAATGTCGAGACTATAATAACTAGATAGGATACAACTATAAAGATATTAGAGAGCAGGTAATAGACTCGACGCACTTAAAGCGGAGGATATAAAGGGTATAATAGTATAATCTTAGCCTTGTCTTTACTTTATATAAAGCTTTTATTCTTTGTACTTGTAAACAATCCGATACAGAGCGCTTATATAACACTCGTGGGGCATTGTGCTTGCGCTCAGTGAAGAGAGAAAAGCGACGGGCAATAAAGTTGAAACTAGTCTTGTCATCCCTCCGTAACCGGTTCAATTATCCAAATCACCAGTTTACATATAATCAAGTCTTGACGGTTCGCATTTCGGCACGAGAAATGGCAACGTCGCCGCGAGTTCTTGCTCAGCCACCAACAGTTGCACAACCGCTCATCGCAACTTGTTTAGCTGCACATGACCAGATGTGCATAAAGTATCCGCAGCATGTCTGACTCGTCTCTTTTTTCTGAGGCGCCTGGCGGCTCGTCCCGCATGAAATATCATGTATGGGGTAGGAGGCGGCACCGAGATTCAAGAGTGTTTTAGGCTTTGCAGTTTCAGCAGAGTCTCAAGTGAATGCAGTC